GGTATTTTTTTTTTTTTTTTTTTTTTTTTTGAGACAGGGTCTCACTATGTAGTTCAGCCTGGCCTTGAACTCACTATGTAGCCCAGGCTGGTCTTGAAATCACGCAGTCCGCAGTCCTCCTCCCTCAGCCTCCTGAGTGCTGGGATTACAGACCTGCATCACTACGCCCGACTTATAGGTAGCTTTATGTCATCGTCACAACTTTAAGGATGTTGTGAAGAATTTAATAGATTGGCTTTTTAATTGTCCATTCAAGTTGTTTTGTTTCGCTTTGCTTTGTTTTGGTCTTTTTGGTGCTGGTCTGTGTACATGCTAAGCAAGTGCACTATCACTAAACAATACTCCAAGCCCCCCAAAATGTTGATTAAACAAACATTTTATTTTGGTAATTTTGAAACAAATACTGTTTTTCACATTGATAGGTTTGTTTTATAAACTAATTTAACTTAATTTTCTTCAGTATTATTTTTCTTTTATTCGAAAGCATAAGACCAATGTTGTAGGTTGTATTTATCAGACTTCATTTACTTGAGATGCTTATAGGAATGCCACAAGCAACAATATTGATATTCATCAAATATAACTGAGCATTAAACCCAGGATTTCTGAGCCCTGGTGTTTTGTTAGTTCACTGAGATATATGCTCACTTTAAAATGTTAGCCTCGGTTTTAGATATTATGAATAAGAGTTCTACCGAGAATTCAGCCTTTAATGTCTAGGTTGTCTTAGAATTTTGTGCAAGTTTCTATAATATATATTTGATGGCTTTTGCATTTAGAGAAAAAAAGTAATTTTCAAATCATGTACAGAAACCTTAACTTGTTTCCTATATGCAGATGTATTAGCTTGTATTTTCTTCACAGTATTTCTGTACTTACAGCATCTATTTATATAAACCTATCTTTTTTTTAATTTGTTTTATTACCTATGGTTATTAGTCTGTGTTCTTCAGCCTAAATTTCTGCATATTTATGACTTAAACCTTAAAAGATTTACAGTGTTCAAATTTTGAAGAAAAACAAATCCTGCATTTTGCTGCCCTCCTGTGGACTATCCTTCGTATGCTACCTGCTGAAAGCCTTTGTGTTATTACTTCCTTTTTAAGAATTAGTGAAGATACTTGCTTACTTTTTAAGATAGTCCGGTGGACCCAGTTTTGGCAGCACTCTACTATTTGGTCAGGCCACCTCCATTTAATTGTGTAAACAGAATTTAACTTTTGGTTAATTTATTGCAGTTTCCAAAATCCTGAGGGGATTGCAACAAATCCAGATACAACTCTGTATATATCAACTATCTAGATCGCTATACAGTTTTCTTTAAAAGAGTTATAGTTATTTGATTAACAGAGAATTCTTTGACGTATATCTTTTTTTTTTTTTTTATGGCCTAGAAGCAAAGGTAAGATTTACAGTAGTCACGGTAGAGCTGAAATTAAGGTCTGAGTCCTCTGCCTTCCAGGGCCAGTGCAGTTCCCATGCATTCATTCTTTCACTCTTAAACTACTCCCGGCCATGATTGGAAGAATCCATGTTTATAGATTCTTATCTGTAACATTTTATAAAAGTGGTTCAATCACTTCACTTTCTTATGTCATCTCTCAGAAGAGACATACACATCCCTACATGAAACATAAATTAGGTAATGGGGGGCAGGCATCATGAACCCTAAAAGTTCACCTGAATTAGTCTCCTTTACTCTATAACATGATACCTTGATCTTTGAACCTTGCATCAGTAGATTTCTATTAGTGGATTGCCTTTGATTTCATGTAGAAGATCTGATGATTCTACCTACAGTATTAGCTCAACAGGCAATATTTTTCTTTGGGATTCCAGTGTTTAGCTTTTATGAACAGAACAATTACTTTGTTTTCAGATTTAGGATAGTGTTTAACAGATTCTCATGACCAGTGGTTTAACACTTCAGGCACTAAAGAATACCATGTATAAATACTTACTGGTTTTTAATTTTTAATGTGAATTATTTTGTCTTGCATGCAAAAACATTTTCCCTTTAGAGATGAGCCTGTTGGTCCTTGCCTAAGGTCTTTCCACAGCCATCCCATTCTACCCAGTCATTATAGATGATTAACCTGGCCTGGAGGTGTAGCTCCATGGCAGAGTACTTGGCTAGCATGCCGGACCATGCATTCTATCCCACAGCACCACCAGAGAGAGAGAGACAGAGATTGGTTGATTGGTTGTGAACCTGGCCAATCCTTTTTTTTTTTTTTTTTTTTTTTTTTAGTGCTAGGGATTGAACTTGAGTCCTTGTGCTTGC